AGGTTATGAGCCCTTCCTTTCACTTCAGTCCAATGAGTTAGAGTCAAACTAAGGGGGGTGGTTACTGTCTGTCCCATAGTTAGTAATTCAGTCACAGTAAATCCGACAGAGACAAGGAGAAACACAAAGATAACCAGACAGCGGCCGCTAGGACTCTGATAAAGATACTGAATAGAGTCTACAGGACGAGGCTCCAGAGTCTCCACTATCAAACAGGATTCCTCAGGTTTACTCCGCTGGTAGAATACAGAGGAGGCCACCAGGCGTCCATGGCCCTCCGCACCTCCTAGGGCATCCCCCAGGGCGGCACCCTGTGACTTTCCTGGCACGTCTGCCGGCCACTGTTTCAGCTCCCTCACGGGAAATGAAACGGCTGTGAAACCGAAAATGCACACCTGACAGAAAGAGAGAAAGGCACAGGGGACAGAACACACAAAGGCGCCTTCTTACCTCCAAGGGGGGGGTCGTGTCGGGAGTGAGGGGCTGTCGTCGGTTTCCCGGCCAACGCACCAAATGTTGGATCTGCAGAGCCGGACCCCAATGAGATCGCACGCCAGCACCAATCACTCACGAGAGACCGTCCTTGATGCAAACAGCATGAGGTTTTATTCCATCCAGCACGCTGGGGCACAACTCTTGACCTACGCAGAGGCAGAGGAGTTGAGCCCCAAGCTAAGGGTACATACAGCTTATAAAGGCAATAACCCGCGCAAACATGGGCTAACACACAGGGAGGGTTGCTGATTGGTGTATTTGAATATACAATGAGGTAGGCAGTTCTGATTGGTAATAATTTGGCGCGTATGGGTAAGCGAGGAAAACTATCTGATTGGTACATTTAAAAGCAAGTTGGCGTGCGCGCGGCAAGCGGGGTCGGCGCAAGGGGTGGGGGAGTGGGGAGTAAAGTTCAGAAAAACAACTCCTGGAATTTCTCTTATCTGTACTCGCAGATGTGGGTGAGCCGTTTTATGGCCTTGTTTTTCTAAAAGAGAGCAAAAGTCCTGTGAGGTTTTATGGCTTCTACCTGAGAAGGGTTAAAAGTTAACTTCCTCATAATCCTTCACACACAGTGAAATACTATGCAGCACGCAGGAGAAGTAACTTTGTAAATTATTACCTAACTTTGGAGGGACTGGAGAGCATTATGCTGAGTGAACTAACTCAATCCCACAGCGATAAATATTTTATAACCCTGTTATTGTAGATTGAGTATAAAGATCCAGGAGGGGTGGGAGAGGCTGGAAGCAGAGGGATGTGAATGTACAGAGGAAAGTGGGGATTAATCACTGGATTGTACAATTTGTTGGGTGGGGAGATGAGGGAAATTGAAAGTGTATTGGAATTTTGTAAATAAACTAGTTAAAAAAAGATAATTGCAATATCCACAGATCTGGGGATTGCAATATTACAGGTCTTGGAAGGCAGAAAGAGTCTTTTGGAAAAACTGCCTCTCTGTTTGGGAGTGGTCATTAGGATTCTATACTTGGGTTAAACTTTTTTTAGTTAAAATTACAGGACTTTTACATTTTAAAAGAACAGTTTACGTATAGTTACTAGTAAACAGACAACTTATGAAAAAATTAATACATGACTAAAAAAACAGTTTTGAAAATGTAAAAGCTATTCAAGAAAAGATCTATTTCCCTTACCGGTAAACAGGCAGTTTAAAGTACAATTTAGAAAAAAGGGGAAAAAATACAATTTACGTAGGACTGAGAAAAACTGTTTCCAATAGGTAAATACTAATCCAGGGAAGATTCATTTTCTCTCCTGGTAAATAGGCAGTTTAAAGCATTTTACATGACTAAAGAAAAGGGGGGGAGGAAGAATTCTAAAACAAAGTAAATACTTTTGTAGACTGGAGATAACAGATGTCAGTTTTAGAACTAAGCTGATATGTTTGAATAATTCTGAATTTATTAATACCTGTTAGTTCCAGCGTTTCTCCGTTCAGACACTTCTATTACTGAACACAGAGTTTTTTCTGCAGTGAATTGCCAATAAGATAGATGGATTGCAACATCCAAAGCACTTTATTTCAGAGCTGGAAGGACACAGAATTCTTCTCAAAAACTGCTTCCCTGTCTGAGGGTGATCATTAGTTTTTATACTTGAGTTAGATACTATAATTTACTTAACAATATAGTTTTGTTAGTAAAGTTACAGAATTTATACATCTTAAAAGAACAGTTTACTAGTAAATAAACAATGTAATAGTTAACATATGACTGAGTAACAACAGTTTTGAAAAGATAAATGCTAATCCAGGAAAGATGTATTGCCCTTCCTGGTAAATAGTTTAAGACAAAATTTACATATGACTGAGAAAAACAGTTTCCAAGAGCTGGGTGGTAATCTAGGAAAGACACATTTCTTCTCCTTGTAATAGGCAGTTTAAAGTACATGACTAAAGAAAGCAAGGGGGCGGGGGTGGATTCTAAGGCAAAGTAACTAGTTTTGTAGGTTGGAGAAAACTGATGTCAGTTTTATTATTATACTAGTGTTTGGGTAATTCTGAATTTATTAATACCATCCCATAACTTCCTATTGGGATACAACTTAAGATTTAGAAGGAAAGATTTAGATAAAAGTTATTCAATGGCAAATAACTGCAACAGAGAATATTTATAGTTCGTTTTCTGTGCTTTGTATTATTTAATATTTCATTTCCTTGCTCCTTCTGTTTCTTATTTTGTTACTGAACACAAGGGGTTCTTTCCATAGTCAATTGCCAATGATACAAATGGATTGCAATATCCATAAAAGCCCGTTATTACGGATTTGTGGAGAACAGCGAGGAAGACTGCCCCCCTGTCTGGGAGTGGTCATTGGGCTTTTATAGCAGGGTGAGACACCACCTCACTTAACAATGCACTTTTGTTAGTTAAAAAATAATTTCTGCATCTGAAAAGAACAGTTCACGTTTAAGTTCCTGTAATTCAGGAAGGGCATAGTCCCCTTCCTGGTAAACAGACAGATTAAACTACTTTACATGACTCAAGACAGGAAACAGAGAATTCTGAGGCTAAGTACTAGTTTTGCATGCTTAAGAAAACTGTTGTTAGTTTTACAACTGATACATATGTAGAGAATTCTGAACTTATTAATACTACCCCAACAATTTTGTATCTGATTTTCACCAACAGAAAGAATATTTCAATAACTATAGTATGATATCTAATAGCAACTGTGCTTTCACATTGGGTGTCATCCTTATTTTACATTTTCCTCACGTTCTTTTTTGCTTTATTTACAGTATGGATGGAGCAGATCTGTGTTTTGAAATCGTAAAACGAGCAGATGCTGGTTTTGTGTACAGTGAAGCTGTAGCCAGGTATGTAATCTGCATCTAGGTCCTAGAAGTAAAAGGTGGAAACAAGAGAAGGAAAGAAATGATAAAGAAATCACATGAAGTAACATGCTCTTAGAACTAAAGATGTATATATTGCTCATCTTTCCTATTTCAATGTGCATTAGTGGAACTGCGTGGTGACTGTAATTGCAAAATACTGAATAGTGAAAAATATCTTATTAACATTGCAGGTGGATTTACATTTTAACATCAGTATTGGTATTTTTCCCATTTCTGAAGGCTTATATGTGAGAAGTCATTTGATAGCTTATGAATCATCATGTATAGCCTTGTATAATAATAGCATCATAGACTGATAGAACGGAAAACAATTTAGCACCTACCTAACACAGCTTTGAGCCCAGGAATTGACTTTCTTCAGATAAGTTTCTCTACCTTGTTAAGGCTTATAAATCAGGGACCTACTGTCAGGAGAGGAAGCAGCCATAGATGCAGGGCAAATTAAGAACAGGCTCAATTTGGGGCAGTGGATTTTGTTGGTTTTGTTTTGTTTTGATTTTTTTTTTTCACTACTAAGACTAGGTATAAAAAGCAAATGAAAGTTTATACAAGTTATAGTTTCTTAAATTTCTTAAATAACGTTCTATAAATAGTAGATCTCAGCTTAAAGATCCATCCAGTTTCTGGTACCACAATCCCTAAAATATAGATTTGGAATCTGGAATCCTATTTGTTAGGTCTTCACACTGGATGTAAGGCTAAGGACTCAAGAAAGGGACCAGAGAAAGATAGAACGCTTAAAGCAGCTTTATTAAGGGGGCTCCCTGGAGGGATTCCTTGGTCTGGAGAGAAAGACAGATCAGGGGAAAACCACGCCCTAAGGTAGGTTGGGACACGTTTTTATAGTAAGGATCTTTAGACATGTTGATATTCTTTGAATCCTTCAGTCTCCCCCTTGACCTTCATCTGGGCCTGACATCCCAGCCTCTTTAGTGAGAAAAAGAGTGTCATATCTTTATTCTAGCTACTTCCTGCTGAACAGGGGCTCAGAGGCTGGGTTGGGTTAGCCTGTGATCAGTAGCCAGGGGAGAATATGGATGTATAGCAGCTGGTTCACTGTTAAGTTGGTCGTGTCTCTTATCCTGTGAAGTAAGAATTTAAAAAGCAGAGAGATACTGAGAGCTTGGGATCTGAGTGAGGCAAAGAGTAGTGGGGCCCAACATTTGAGAATGTAGGAAGTCTGTTTAGTGAAAGGAGCATGTTAGACCTGGGAAATGGGGTGCTAATGAGGGTTACCTATGACATTAACCACTGTGGGGATTGTCAGGATGCCGGTGTAAGGTCTGTCTTAGCTTGTTTAAAGAGGTTTGGGTGCATGCTGTTTTGATGAGGACAGCATATCCTGGGACGAATCTAGCTGTCTGGTCTAGACAAGGCAAGGGTCTGGGTATGCAGCAGTCTGTGTATTCCCAGAGCAATTGTCTAAGTAGGGAGAGATGAGAAAGGTATGATGCTAAAAGAGGGGGTTCAGTGTGTAGGAACGATTGGCCGTACATCAGCTCGAAGGGGCTTAGAAAGAATGATGAAAAAGGTGTTGCTCAAATGCTTCTTTCCACACTGTGTTTATGGAAACTTCAGCATAGGCTGCCTAATGGTAACCTTCAGAGGTCGTACAAGAGCTGCTGTCACCAAACAGAGTACGGTCTGGATGAGGGGTGGGTTAGTCACATAGGTTTGCTTGGCTCCACAGTCAACACTCTTGGCACCAACAGCCAGGAAATTAAAAGATGTATTGCGTTGGGAAAGTCTGCTATTAGGGACCTCTCTAAAGTACTGAAGAACAATGGTGTCTCTCTGGAAACTAAGGTGCATCTGATACAGGCCATGATCTTTGCAACCACTTGTTATGCATCAGAGAGTTGGACAATGACTAAGGAGGACAGAAGGAGAATTGATGCCTTTGAGCTTTGGTGTTGGAGAAGAGTATTGAGGGTACCATGGACTGCTAAGAAAACAAACAGATTCCTCCTAGAGATGGTTAAACCGGGCTGCTCTTTGGAGGCAAGGATACTGAGGCTTTGTCTGACATACTTTGGTCATGTTGTAAGGAGAGACCGGTCCTTGGAGAAGAACATCATGCTTGGGAGAGTGAAGGGCAGGTGCAGGAGGGGAAGGCCCTCTAGGAGATGGATTGATTCAGTGACTGGGGTAATCGGGATAAGTGTGTTAGAGACAATGAGATTGGCACAGGACAGAACAGAGTTTAGGGCTGTTGTACATAGGGTAGCTATGAGTCACAAGCGACTCACAACAACAACTGTCAGATAGAGAGGAAAGTAAAGAGCACATATCTTCAAGGACTCCAGGGAAGCTATGATCATAATAAATCAGTGTTTATTGGAAGTAGGGTGGCCAAGTTGAGAGAGGCTAATATCAGAGTAAAAAAAAGTAGGTGGAGCTCCTGTATCTGCCCAGGGGGAAGGAAAGATAGGAAGCAGTGGGAAAGCAGGTCTCAAAGTCTATGGCTAGAGAAGACTTGCAGAGGGCTTCTCAGAGTGAGTTTAAGCACCTCTTTAGTAAGGAGAGCTATTATTGCTAGGGATTGAATGCAGAGTTTCCATCGCTGGGTGGTGACATCGAGCTGCTTAGAGAGGTATGCAATGGGAGTAAAGGTGGGTCCAAGGGACTAAGCCAAGACGGCAACAGCAGTGCCTTGTTTTTCATCAGTGTGTAGACGGAAAGGTTTAGATGGATTTGGCACTGTGAGGGGTGGGGACTATAAGAGGAGATGCTGGAGCTTGAGAAGGCTTTTTTAACTATCTGGGGTGAATCTAGGGTTCCTTGTGAAGTGGCGTTTGCTGCATTATAAAGAGGTTTTTGCTAGTAAGGAAAAGTTGGGAATCCAGTGTTGAAGGAAACTGAGAAAGCTGAGAAAAGAGAGGATTGTCAGCAGATTGATGTGGCTGGAGGCTTTCAATGACTCAGCGCTGATTAACCATTAAACTTCTTGTGGTGGAGGTCAATTAAAAACTGAGATACGTGACTGTGGGGAGAAACAGTTGAGCCTTGGAGAGGGAAACCCTGTATCCCTTGGAGGCCAAGAAGTGAAGAAGTTGAGCAGTGTGAGTTTTTGAAAGTTGATATGAGGGGCTACACAATAAAAGATCATTAACTTATTGCAAGAGAACACAAGGGGATGACAAGCTTATTGGAAAGTAGGCGAATAATAATGGGTTTTAAACCTCTGTGGTGGTGTGCGGAGATAGGGAGTTGGAGTCTACCAGGAAAAGAAGAGGGGTCTTTAAGAGTAACAAGAACAGGTTGGTGGTGAGAGGCTACAGATGGAATCGAAAGATCCCATAAGAGGTTGACAATCTCTGGTGATAGAGGTAGAAAGGAGCTCAGAGGGGAGGAGAGCTAAAAAGGATAGAACTATAGGCTAGTCAGGCGAACTGCCTTTGCTTGGCTCTCAGTGAAACACAGCTCCAATTTTAGACAGGAGGTTGGTCTTTACATAGCAACAGAGTTGGGCATACTCATTTGTTGAAGGTAATGAGGAGGGGTTGAGTGGGAAAAGGCTTAGATTCCCCATTACTCAATCCCTGTTACTGAGACCTGGGAAAGGAGAACAGGACCCAAGAAGAAAGGGAGCACTAAAAAGGTAGCCCCCATGTCAACCAGAAAGGAAATTGGCTTACCTGCTGCCTGAAGGGTTACCCTGGGCTCTGCAAGCATGATGGGTGTCGATGAACCTGGGCATCTTCAATCTATAGTGGCCAGGCCTAAGATGTCGACTAGAATAGGGACTGGGTTTAGTGGAGGGGCTGTCCTATCATGGCTAGGCAGCAAAGAGCAGTTGGCCTCCAATGGCCAGATGTCACACAGATAAGGCAAGGCCATGTCAGAGGGCTATGGTTAGGACAGCAGTTAGCCCAATTACCCTCTTTGCCACACCTGAAGCATGCACCAGGAAGTAACCAGCTCATTGAACGAGGAGGTGTTTCCTGATATTTTACCACTGCCTGCCATGAGGCAGCCACTGAGACTTGGGCCTGCAGATTCACTTTCTTTTTTTTAATTTTTTTTAATTATTATTATTAAATTT